TTTTTTTGCGGTACGTGGGCCTCTCACTGCTGTGGCCTCTCCCGTTGCGGAGCGCAGGCTCAGCGGCCATGGCTCACGTGCCCAGCTGCTCCGCAGCATGTGGGATCTTCCCGGACCGGGGCACGAACCTGCGTCCCCTGCATCGGCAAGCAGACTCTCAACCACTGCGCCACCAGGGAAGCCCAGGTACTTGACTTTTGATTCTCTAATTTGCTGTTTGGCAAGAAATGTTTCACTCTACTAGAAAGTTAACAGTTCTAGGGTCCAACAGAGAAAATATCCTTTTATGTGTGGGTGTGTGTACTTTGTTTTTTGAGTTTGGTAAACTTAAACTTCCAAAGCTAATGTGCTCTGAACTCAGCAGAATATTTAGAACGACTGTTAAAGGATGAATATTATAATACAAACTCAGGCCACAGAATTCTTTAAAACTATGAGATTATTTATAGCCATTAGACTATCCTGTCTCATTTTAAAAATAATAAATATATAATGAAAATCTACTTTCAAATATTTTTGATACTTTGTTCATCTTGGATTTTTGCATTAAATTTTATTTTTTAAATATTATATTCAAATGTTATTTATTTTGATTACTGAGTTTTTTGTGCCATCATAAATTCTGTGCCCAAGATGGGTGGCTCGCTCCTATCACAGTATCCCAGTCTTGATCTACAGCTCATATTCAAATCTTATCAATTTTCCCAACATTAGTCTCAATAGCGGTCTTCTCCCATCCATGATCCCATATGGATTCATGCATTGCACTTCTCTGTTTATGTCTCCTTATTCTGGAGCTGTTCCTCAACCTTTTCTTTCTTTCTTTTTTTTAAAATTAATTTTATTTATTTATTTTTGGCTGTGTTGGGTCTTCATTGCTGCGTGAGGGCTTTCTCTAGTTGTGGCTAGTGGGGGCTACTCTTCGTCGCGGTGCGCGGGCTTCTCACTGGGGTGGCTTCTCACTGTGGTGGCTTCTCGTTGGGGAGCACAGGCTCTAGAAGTGTGGGCTCAGTATTGTGGCTTACTTGCTCTAGAGCGCAGGCTCAGTAGTTGCGGCCCACGGGCTTAGTTGCTCCACAGCATGTGGGATCTTCCCGGACCAGGGCTCAAACCCATGTCCCCTGCATTGGCAGGTGGATTCTTAACCACTGCACCACCAGGGAAGTCCCCAACCTTTTCTTTCTTAACCTTGATATTTTGAAGGGAATAGGCTAGTTATTTTGTAAAAGGTCAATTAAAAAAAAAAACTATGGAGACAGACTTCATTCAAGGAGAACAGTCAACAGTGATTACATTATGGCTTAAATAGGCTTCATGGTACTATTATTTCTACTATTTTTATCATGGAAAAATATTTTTCCTTCTAAACAGTTAATTTTTCATCAAACTTTTAGAATGTAGTCCATCTATAAATTCGATATAATGTTCAAATTCAGAGATTAATGAATTGGTAATAAAATGTCCTGAACTAACTCTTGATGCGTGAAAATCAAGATAGGATGGATTTTTCATGCTCTCAGTTCCTGGACGAGCCACTGCAGGCCCTTTGCACATGCCCGTGCCGTTCCTCTGACTGTAATGCTTTTCCCTTTCTTTTGCCTAGTTAATTTCTATTCATCCTTCAGGGCTTAGCTCATTGTATCTTCTTCAGTGAAGCTTCCCTTTACTTGGCACACTGGATTCAGCCCCTTTAACCATTTATATGCTTTCATTTTACTTAGACTTCTCTTTGGTAGCACTTATAATTTTAATTAAGTAATTATGTCAGCGTGTACTTAAAGCCTATCTCCCCTGCCAGAATATAAACTCCATGATGACATCTGTCTTATTCAACACTGTTTCCCTAATAACTTCTGAATTATTCCTCAGACTCAAAAACAGGAAGAAATGATATTATGGGTGATGCATTAAGTAACTCCCAACACAGTTGCATATTAGGCTCTTAAATACCTGTTTGTTTGCTTTTCTTCTACTTATTCAGTTGAGGGCCATGTGCTAGCGATAGTTAATAACTGTTTTCTAAAAAGATGAGGACTAAGATCCTTTTATCCAATGAACAGGAAAAAATGTTAAAAAAGCACTTGAAGTGAGAGATTAGCCAGTGTGTCTCTGTAAAACACAAGGGAAATGATATCCATATTATTTTGTATTTAAAATGCCTTATTTTTATGCATGCTCCATCAATAATAAGTACTTTAACTAGAATTTACCAAGTTCTTGCTCTTCATAAATTGACAGCCTCTTATTTTGTAGGTTATAGTGCCATCATGTGGATACTTCATTTTCCTAAAATAAAATGTAACATTTTTGTAACAGAGACTAGAAAACTATGATTGGGAAACACAGCCATTCCCACACCCAGGCAAAACAACTTATAATTCAGTACTGGTTCCTAAGACCAGCTGTGTATAGATTCACTTGGGGACTTCTGAATCTGAGTTGTAAGCGTACAGAATTTGGAAGCATTCATTTAAATGGTAAAAGAAGCCTTACAAGATGTGGCACAATAAAAAGAAACGAAATTGAGCTATTTGTAATGAGGTGGATAGACCTAGAGTCTGTCACACAGAGTGAAGTAAGTCAGAAAGAAAAAGACAAATACCGTATGCTAACACA